CAGGCATAAAGTGGGTACTTGAAATTACATGTTTCTTTTCTCCTTCCCTTTCCTGATCTTGTCTAACCAAGGTGTTCACATCTCTGACTGAGAGCTCTAACATGCTCTCATGTGCTCATCCTCATCATCCTCATCACCCTCATCACTTTCACACTCACATCCCAGTAAACTAAACTGCCTCTAGCTTCTGAAATTTAATTATCAAGATTATCAAACTGCTCTTACCTTGCATAATACCTGGGGTGCCCAATATTGCTCAACTGCTTACCCATCAAAGAGCCCCAAGAAAGACTGGCCTGTAGGATCTTTACTCACTGCCTCCTCGACCCTTTTCAGAGATCTCAAAGAGAAGAGCCCCACAGGAATTGGCATCTCACAATTCAAGCCAACATTTAATCTAGGCCCTGCTCACATACTGAAAAAAATAGATGAAAGGCCATAAATTGGTGCTCCTGTCACCTACTTAGATTCCCAGCAAAGTTTAGAACAAGACGAGTGCAGTATCAGCAGCCTCTAAAGATGTCCTCTCCTTCTACAGCAAAGGGCAGAAAATGGGTAAACTCTCTCTTTCCAGATTTCCCCTCTGGCTCAGCTAGAGGGTAACAAGGGGAAGAAGGACTTGATTATTCAGGCCCAGAAACTGTCGAGGTCAGACACTTTATTAGGGTCCAAAATACAGCTTTATAGGCACACACAGCAAGAATGTCAACCAATCTAGAACAGCAGACATAGAATAGTAACTGGTTCAACCTCGCTTGTGAACCTTTGCCCTGGGAGAGGCAAGAAAAAGAGAAGCTGGGGCAGGGACATACCTGCAATGCCTGTAATAATCAGAAAGAGACCAAAATGACCTTCCAAGAACAAATCAGTAAAGTGTTAAAGTGCATCACTGTCTACAATGACTCTTCCTAGGCAAGAAAACTAAGACATAAGTATGAATGGCTTGTTATGCCAATTATTGAAAACAGAAAAATCTAACTGAACTTCACAGATATGCAAAAGGAAAAACAAAACAGAAGAACACCCACTTCATAGGAAACTAGCAATCTAGAGCTTAGCCCTCCCATATCCTCCTTGTTTTTCATTCCTCAGATAAATCAGGTTATGGCCACAGCTCATCCCCTTTCCTCCCCTAATACCACCTCTGCTTCTTACAGGGATTCCCTCATCTGACTCCAGCAGAGCCTTATAATTCACAAAGTGGATCTCTATCACACAGTGACTCCCCTTTACAACAGTGAATCCTCAGGTTATCTCCACCTCTGTTTAGGGTAACAAAGACTATGTCAAAGAGAAGGTGAAACTAATCATAAAGGATAAGGAAAGCTCACTGAGCAGGGAAGAAAAGGCATTTCTAATAAAGAAGGCAGCTACTGAAAAGATTTCAGGGCTCAAAAAAGTAACATGTTTGTCGGGGAACCGTGAACGATTAATTCAAACTAGAACACAGAATAAGGAGTAGCAGAGGATGAGGCTGGAGAGGTGACTTGAGGCCAACTAAGGCCATATTAATGAATTTGGATGTTGTCCTACAAGACACAAAGAGCCAAAGGTTTTCTGCAGATGAGTTCTATGATCAGATTTGTATTTTTGGAAAGGTCATTCTAGGGATGAACTAGAAAAGAACAAATTTTAAGGCCACAGACTGTTAAAAAATCAGATCGTAGATGAGGATGAGCTAAACTAAAGCTTTTGTGACAATGGAGATAAAAGAAATGTATTAAGTTTTTAGTCACTGAATTCACTTCTTTTGGTGAAGGAGCAGAAAGTATGGAAAATGACACTGAAATCCTCACCTGAACTGAAATTCAACATAGAGTGCAAAAACAGTCTTTCAGGGCAAAGGTAGTAAATTCTGTTTTAGACATGTTAATTTTCAGATAACTGTGGAGATAACACAGAACAGGATACATAGAGACTGAGACTAAATAAAGAGAAGTAATCATCTCATTACATATTTTTGTATTTTAAATTTTTTCTCTAAATTCAAACTATCTTTTCACCTGTTTGTTTCTCCCAGCAAGACTATGAACTCTTTGAGATGTCATAGGACTATGACTTTTTTATTTTCTACAAAATGAGAGCAATGAGAGAAGAGACTATATGCCTAAGTACTATTTTCTAGATGTATAAATGCATAAATACTGTATATGAATGAATGAGTTTGTTCTCCCAGCATTTATCAGACTGCCTGGCACATAGCAGATAAGGAATAAATGATTACACATCAGATCTCAAATGCTTCTAACTCTGTATCATCCTCATCTATGTTTTATTCTCTCAGACCTACCAGTCAACTATATGTGAGAAGTCATAATCTACTATAATTAAGGTACTGGTATTTCAACAAAAGATTTGATATAGCAAATAACAACCTTACCAAATCCAGCACTTTCTCCAGTACCACCAAGAATTTGGACAGTCCCTAAGAATCCTCTAACATGTGACTGAACTCATCCTATTACCATGACAAGCAATATAGATATCTATTACCATGTCATGGACATAGTATTAAACATAACCTTCATCCCTACAACACTCTCGAAGTCCCTTTAATTTCGTTTGAAAATAGAACAATTAAAAATTATAAAAAACACTTTTTGCTGAATATAGGGTCCTTCACATCATCACATTTCCTAAATATCCCATGCCCTTTGCCCCATATTACCTTTACTCTCTGTTACAAATCTTTCCAGTCACTCTAACTCTCAGAAGGCCAAATTTTGAGTCCAGTTTTGTCACTTTATCCCTTATGACCTCTAGCTTCTGAATGTGATTCAACTATAAAATAAGAATCCTTTTCTTTGCCTACTTCACAAGGTATCTATGTAAATCCAGTAAAATTTGTGATTGCTTCCCAAAGCATGAAACTTTGATTTCATAGCAAAAAGACTACTATGAAAGCATGAATACTGTTCAGATATCAGAAGTTATACAGAATTATGATATAAATGCATGCCTCAACATAAAAGTCATACTATCATCATCCTAAATTTCAGAATTTCATGAACCAGTAGAAATAATTTTTTAAAAGTTAAAAATTAAAAATAGGGTTGTCACTTTCTATTTTGATAAATAAAACCATTTTTTAAAAGTCATCATCTATTGTCATCATTATTTCATTAGTGAAAGAGCACTTTAACACCTGCAGGGTAGGAAAGATAATCTCAGAGTAAATTTAGCATTATGGAAAACTCACTATGCCGCCTCTATTTCTTTCCTTCCACCTTATATGGATGAAAACTATCATGGTCCTTGGGCCAGTATCTAAGAATCATTATTTTAAACTCTATTGTACATGTAGGTCCTATAGAGTCCTAGACAGGCTGCCAAAGGTTCCACCAGTATAAGACCTATTTCGCCTCCAGAGAGAAGCAAAGAAAACATATCATAGACTAGAAGGGTTGGTTCTGAGGCTGAGACTTTGGCATATAATGAGGGTTATGCCCTAATTCTCAGGGTATGGTCTTTGGGAGGACCAAACTTCCTAGCCTTGAGGAAGAGACAAGATGTTTCAGTTCCATGACAGAATGTCAGCAGGGAGAAAAATTTAAGCGTGTGAAAGTGGTCATTATTACTGAGTGAATCCAACTTTTAAAAATTTTCATGTGTGGGTTGGTGGGGAAAAGGGGACTAGTAAAATACTAATAAAGTGATCCCAATTACAGGGTGTGGAGGGAGAGAATTCCAAAGAAATAAGAGAAAACTTTCAAGGTGGTAAAAATGTTTAGTATCTTGATAATGACAGTGGTTCCACAAATGCGTACATATGTCAAGACTCACTAAGTACATTTTAAAAATGAGCAGGTTGTTGCACATAAATTTCCATCAATAAAAGTAGTTTTTTAAGTTTAACTTAAAAAAAAAAAAAGGAGAGCTAGGCCATCCTGTTTGGGAGCCTAAATATAGTGCTATATATAGCTAATCATGCAACTCCTATGAAAAGATGAATCAGCAACTGAAAGTGGTCAATCCAATATAGATAAGGTCAGTCCAATCATAGGTGAGGAGCAACAATGGATTACTATACTATGGCTCAGAACCAGGAAGAGAGAAAACAAACACACGCAGCCATAATTTTTTTAAAAAGAAACTTCATGAAAAGCCTCCCCTTCAATTCTTTCTTCGGTCCAGAAGAAACTAGGGCCCCAATGATTACGGACGACTGAGCCTCAAAAATGATTTTTCATTATCATAGTTACTCTTGCCCATGACGCCTTCTCTGTTTTTTCTCCCTCCAAAATATACAGAATCCATTGGAGTGGGAAAGGAAGTGCACAGCACTTTTATCCGCGCTGTCGGAGTATAAAACTATTACTATCACCGGGCAGGACAGTCCACTGGAGGAGACCCAGAACCAATCTCACACCTTCACCCACGACTCACAGCCTTCTTTCCTCTTCCCTCGCCCTGCCTCCAACTCCTGCGTCCACTCGCCGCCACCTAGGGCTCCCGCCTGGCCCTGTACTCGCCTCACTCTCCTCGCACAGGCCTTTCCCCCTCGCTGTCCCAGGACTGTCCCTCGCCCGTGCCCTCAGTAGCCCCAGCCCCTCAGGATTCCGTGTTCACGAGCTCCTTCAACCTGGCCCTTCAAAAAGCACTCCAGCGGCTCATACAACCAGCCCCTAACTTGTCCATTCAGCCCAAGCTCTCATCCTGCTCCCCTACCTTAGACACAGCCCCTAACCACCTGCCAACTCCTCACCCTGTCCCCTCACGACCAGTAGTCACCAAACCCGGTGCCATCATTCCCCGGTTCCCTCATCCCTCACGCGCCTCTCTGGCCCTCTGACCCACGCGCACAGTTCCCTCACAGAACGCCGACCTGCGCCAGGCCCCGTCGCCGCGGATGTGCTAAGGTGAGTTCAGGCCGCCGCCATCGCTCTTCAGGCGCTCCAACCGCGCCCCGCCCCGCGCCACACGCAGCCCGCGCCCCCGCGTGCCAAACGTAACCGCCCAGCGACGCAGGACTGGGCAATGGCGTGACAGCTCATTGGCTGGGTATGGCCAAAGCCAAAGCGTGGATGCTGGTTTCCTGGCAACGGCCGACCGCAGAGGCGGGGTAGTCGATGGCATTCGGAGGAAGAAGTACCGCCTTCTCCCCCAGGTTCCGCCCGTTCCTGCTCTAATCCCCGCCCCCCAAGGAGACTCCGACCTATCATAGGGGCAGACCTCTGGGGAGGCGGAGGCCCGCAGGCCTGGGGCGGAGCCTGGGGAGGAAAGGTCGAACCAGAGGGCAGAAGGCGGGACCTAGAAGGGATAGGACTTTTAGGAGCAAGGCAAGCCAGAAGGGCGGGGCTTAGGAGAGCAACGGGATGGGAAGAATTAGGGTAAAAGGGTGGGGCCACGGGTCCTGGGCGGTGTTCAAGGTGGAAGAGTGGGCGTGGGGGCGTGGCTAACCGAAACGCTTAGGTCTAGGGGAGGAGTCAGTAGGTGGGCAGGCCCTGCAGAAAAGCGGAACCCTAGAGAACGCTGGCTGTAAACAAGCTAATTCATTTTTGCCCTGCCTGCACGTACTATTTGCATTGTACTTTAGTGCCCCAGCAATAACCACTCTCCGTGCGTCCCGCAACACCTATGTTCTGTGTTGCTCCGTGACCCTTTGGATATAGCTTTAGTTGGTCAAGGAACAAAGATTAATCGCTTACGGGACAGGTTGATGTACAGAGGGATGAGGGTGAGCCTCTGCCCTCTCCAGGACCTCAGATCCTTAACCAGGCACAGACGATTGCGGCATAGTGCAAGAAGTCCTGTAGTGGGAGAACCATCTAGGAGCAGCACTTAGCATGACTTGTGTATCCAGAGGCTAAGGGGAAGGAAGGATGAAGGGGCTTAGGGAAGTCTTCCAGGAGGAGATGCCATCATGCAAGCTGAGTGCTGGGAAACAAGCAAGAGTAAGATAAAACTAAGAGAAATGGAAGTTTGAGACAAGGTCTGAAGTTTCCAGTATTGTGCCAGTGTTATCTGGTTTTGATCTTTGTCCTATGGTTATATAAGATGATAACATTAGGGGAAATTGGTAAAGAGTTTACAACAACTTCCTGTATTATTTTTGCAACTTTTTTATAAGCCTAAAATTAGTTCAAGATAAAAAGTATTTAAAAGAAAAAAGAAATTTGTGAATATGCGCACATCTCTTCTAGACCAAAACAAGAGTCCTGTTAATTCTCCTTCAACCCCATGTTCCTTTCATTACTGTCATCTTTCCCAGTCAGCCAGTTAGAATCTTGCCACCAAGACTGTGCTAAGTATTAGAGACAAGAGGAATAGGACATTCTCCTTTCCCTCCAGAAGCTTACTTACAGCCAGGCAGAGGAAAGAGTAAGGGGTAAACAAGGTAATTACAGATTAGAAGTTACAACCCAAAGAACTAGCAAGGCAAGACAGGATGGACCACTTGTGAAACATGTTCTGTGAACTGCAATTGTAGTGTGTCTGGATTCTCAGGAACATGCAGAGAAAATGTCAGATGGGGCTGAAAACGGGAACAGACATCAAGCACTGGAGAGCACTGTAGGTCCTTTTAGGAGTTTAGATTCTATCCTTGGGATGGAAAGGAATAAGGAATTTTATACATGGTCAGATTGACAGTGCACACTTCATACACTCTGTCTGCCTTTCATGCTCTTCACTCCCATCTCTATACCTAACTCCTATTCATCCTATAGAACCCACCTCAATTGGGAATCTTCCTGTGGACTATAATAGCTCTCTTTTTTACCCACTTAATAGAGCATTCATCAGGACACTGGCAATGACTGCCCCTGTGTTAGTATCTGGTCTGTGATTATCTGTCCACCCTTAACTATTTCCCCTGCCAGGCTATAAGCTTCTGGAGGGAGGGAAGAATGTCCCACTCCTTTTGTCTCCATTACTTCACACAATGTTGGCCTGGCACATAGCAGGATTCTGACTTGCTGACTGAGAAAGATGATAGTAGTGAAAGGGACATCGGGTTGAGGGAGAATTCATAGGGCTCTCATTTTGATCTAGAAGAGATTTATGCATATTCACAAAAAGGGAAAAGTTGGAAGAGGTCAAAGATCCAGAAAATCCATGGAATGGTTGGTGGCATTAGGCACTAGAGGTAATAGAAAAGGAATCAGGACAAAAGCACCATAAGATGACCCCCATCACACCATCCAGGATGAAGGAGGTTAGGTAGATACGAATGTAGATAAGGGTATAGATAGTGAAAACAGAGCTCACATCTGATATGAGAGGCATCTCTTTGTCCGTGGAGACTAGTTTAGCACCTGACACAGATGAGCCATTCAGCAAATAGTTGTCAAGTAAATAAATAATGAGATCCAGCAGACAACCTGCACCAACTAAAACAGTGTTTGAACCTATACTGAAACCCAGATCTCCTGCTCTCCAGGGCCCCTGTGTAACTCAGCTTGGAGTTAAAGGAAAGGAAAAAGAAGACAGAAACAAGGGCCAGGCTTCCTTCTGAGGCATGCTCCCCATGCCTTCTCCAGAGACCTCATTAATGGTGTTTAGCTGGCAAGTGTGAGCCTATGCCTGGGAGACAGGGCAGGGTGCTAGCGCTACCCTGCCTCCACTCCTTCAGTAACTGCTAGTTCTGATTGTGTTGCTAAGGGCTTCAAAGGCAGAGAGAAGTCACAGCTGGAGCCCAAAAGCAGCCTCTTCCAGGCAGTGGAGCACTAGCCCCCACCTTCCCAAGCCACCTACAGGCAGAGGGGCCCTGGATGCTTCAAGCACCACAACCAGGCCACAGAACCATGAGCCAGCACGGCAAAGTGAAAACAACAGAGTCCAGGCCCCCTGCCTCCTCCACAACCAGGTGAGAAGTCCTAGTCCTCAGTATTAGATCTGTTCTCCTAACTCCATGAACCCCATTTCCCTTAGTGCTGCAAATTATAACCACATCATTGAATGTCTGGTGAGTCGGTGGAGCAAAACCTCCCTTTTCCCTGTAGGAAGAGGCTGCCTATCCTGGATCCATCTGGGGATTACTACTACTGGTGGCTGAACACCATGGTCTTCCCAGTCATGTATAACCTCATCATCATCGTGTGCAGGTTTGGCAGGGCCACTGAAAGAGGGTTTTAAGGGGGGATGATGGCTAAAGAGTGAGGCCCAGGAGAAGGGTGGGCTCTTGTGCAGTGCCCAAAGGAGGGCCAACACCCATAGAAGGGCCCAAGGCAGATTACTGGGCCTAGCAGGACTGCCTTACACAAAGAAGATGATTCTAAGCCAATCCCTCCTGTCCCGGCCCCACAGAGCCTGCTTTCCAGACTTGCAGCATGGTTATCTGGTGGCCTGGTTTGTGCTGGACTACACCAGTGACCTGCTTTACCTACTGGACATTGTGATGCACTTCCACACAGGTCAGTGAGCCCCTGGGTTGGACAGAGCCTTTTGTCCCATGTTCCCTTCCTAAAGAAAACCTCTTGTTAGTGAGAAAGGGCCCCCTCCACTTTCACCTGCCTCTGCCTATGCTTGACAACATAGCTGTACTCACCCCAGTGGCTTATGCCCACCTCCACCCTGTCCCTGTGTCTACCTCCATGCCCTACCCTGACCTGTCCACTCTCACCCACAGTGGATCCCAGGCTGTCCCATCCTTTCCTCCCCCTAGGATTCTTAGAACAGGGCATCCTGGTGGTAGACAAGGGTAGCATCGCCAGTCGCTACGTTCGCACTTGGAGCTTTGTGTTGGACATGGCTTCCCTGATCCCCACCGACCTGGTCTACCTGCGGCTAGGCCCACACATACCCATGCTGAGGCTGAATCGATTTCTTCGGGTGCCCCGCCTCTTCGAGGCCTTCGACCGTACAGAGACCCGCACAGCTTACCCGAATGCCTTTCGCATCGCCAAGCTGATGCTCTACATCTTTGTCGTCATCCACTGGAACAGCTGCCTATACTTTGCCCTGTCCCAGTACCTGGGCTTCGGGCGTGATGCCTGGGTGTATCCAGACCCAGCACAGCCCGGTTTTGAGCGCCTGCGGCGCCAGTACCTCTACAGCTTTTATTTCTCCACCCTGATCCTGACTACTGTGGGTGACACACCGCTGCCAGCCCGGGAGGAAGAGTACCTCTTCATGGTGGGCAACTTCCTGCTGGCCGTCATGGGTTTTGCCACCATCATGGGTAGCATGAGCTCTGTCATCTACAACATGAACACCGCAGATGCAGCTTTCTACCCAGATCACGCGCTGGTGAAAAAGTACATGAAGCAACAACACGTCAACCGCAGGCTGGAGCGGCGAGTTATTGACTGGTGAGAGCGTCAGGTTCCAGATCAGGCCAAGGAGAGGCCTAAGGTAGAAGTTAGGGAGGCAACCTCATTCTAAATACCCACTGGCCCAAGGCAGCCAAAATGTGGTGTTCATTTGTAGATCTGTAGGAGGGCTTGGAAAGGGATTTATTCCAATGAGGCACTTTGAACTTCTGGGAGAGGGTGGGAAAGAGACTGATAGGAAGAGGAACTCATGCAAGGAAAGGATAACATGGAGGCCAGGGAATAGGAGCAGCCGCTGCCTGGTAGTGCTCAAGAGGTTCTGGAAGGAGTGAGTGGAGATGGCCAATACTCCGCAAGGGCTGGCCAACAAGATGGCTGACTCTGCCATGGCAGTGCATACTGTGTTCTGAACAAAAAGAAGTGTCACACAGTTGGGGAACCTGAGCAAATGGCTCCCTGAGAGGATGAGAGCCTAGTGGTCAAAGTGGCTATCAGTGGAGGTGTGGTGAGACATTGATTGTGGGTGGGGTGGAGCCTGATAGGAGGTAAAGGTATGTTATCCTTTGTCAAACAGTGGAGGCTTCCATAACTTGGGTGAGGTAGAAGAGCCCCAAGCATGTATTTGACCAAGAAAGGGGAACAGCCAACTGTCTTGTACCCTTAAGACCACTCTGAGCACTCAGTGTGGTCAGGCTCTTGGCTGAAATGAACCCTGATAGGAAGAGTGGAGACAGGCGTGGAGGGGGCTGGTGAGAAAATGACACCACCCCTTCTCCCAGGTACCAGCATCTGCAGATCAACAAGAAGATGACCAATGAGGTAGCTATCTTACAACACTTGCCTGAGCGTCTGCGGGCAGAAGTTGCTGTGTCAGTGCATCTGTCTACTCTGAGCCGGGTACAGATCTTCCAGAACTGCGAGGCAAGCCTGCTGGAGGAGCTGGTGCTAAAGTTGCAGCCCCAGACCTACTCGCCTGGTGAATATGTATGCCGCAAGGGGGACATTGGCCGAGAGATGTATATTATCCGCGAGGGACAGCTGGCTGTGGTGGCAGACGACGGTATCACACAGTATGCTGTGCTTGGTGCAGGGCTGTACTTCGGGGAGATCAGCATCATCAACATCAAAGGTAGGCACCCCAGCATTTGTGCCAAAGACAGGGCTGAAGAGAGAAATGGGCATAGCAGAACAAAGAGTGGGACAAGGTGCTACTTTAAGGCACATAGATAAAGGAAACCTGAATTTTACCTGAGAGAAGCAGGATATGGAGTTCCCTGAAAAGAAGCTAAGCCAAAGTCAGTGAGCAGTTTGGGTCCTTGGAAGAGAGGGTAGATGTGCTCTGTGGGTATTAACTGCAGCACCAACAAGCCAGTGGAAAATAGCAGAGGTGATAGTAATAATAGTAACATATATCACATGCTTACTACATGCCCCATTCTAAGAGTTTCAAATGTATCAACTCATTAGATTCTCACATAACTCTAGCAGATGAGTCCCAGTCTTGTCCTATTTGAAAGATAAGGAAGTTGAAACTCAGAGCGGTTTGGTAACTGGTCCAAGGTTACACAGGTGATAAGTACATACTCTTGGGATCGGTACAAGGAACAACTTTCTCACAGCCAAGTGAAAAGTAAAGAGAAGAAATTCCCTTTTACTGGCCATCAACTACAGAGCAGGCCAGGTTTTGTTCAGCAGTTCATTTTTTCCTCTCGTCACCCTGTACAGTAGGAGTTGTTGAAGAAACCAAGGCCATGAAAACACACCGTCACTGCCCGAGACTAGATGTGCTCCCGACCTGCTCTCCTAGCCTGAGGGTCTGAACTTCTCACATGTGCCCTCCTGGGACCTCCTCAATTTCCATATCCTGGATGCTGTCCACTATTCTCAACTTGTCTTTGAACAAATCACTTTCCTTTTTAACCCTCAATTTCCTCGTGTACCCAATGAGAATAATATTGGAAACCCAGAGAGTTATTTGTGAGACTAACTGAGTTGTATCAGTGAGACATGCAGCACAGTGCCTGCTACATAGCAAATGTTCGACAAATGGGACATTTTCTAATATTCTTCTAGCTCTGTCTGAGACTTGGCAGCATCTAGCCTACTTTCCCACCTGCCTCTTACCAACATCTTTCTAAAATGCATGTGATACTTTGAGAAGCTGAGGCAGGCAGATCACAAGTTTGACCCCAGCCTGAGGAACTTAGGGATGTAGCAAGGCACTGTCTCAAAATAAAAGATGGAGGAGGAGAGGGAGATGTAGCTCAGTGCAAAGGCCCAAGATTTAATCCTTAATACTGAAAAAAAAAAAAAAAAGGGTAATGATACCATATAGCTCCCCAGCTTAAAATATTTCAGTAGTTTCCCACTGCCCTCAGCATAAGATCAGAACTCATTGTGTGGTTTACAGGATTTAAAGTAACCTTCTCCCTCCTTTCTCCACACTCCCCAAGGCCTGCACTTCAGCCACTCTGAACTGCACTCTGTCTTCTACATCCACCTGGCTCTTTTCTACCTCATCCCTCTGTTCATGCTCTTCCTTCTGGCTAAACTGCCTTCCTCCCACACTCTCGTCCTCTTCCCTTCATTACCTCCTACCCAATTTAGGCATCCCTGCCTCCAAGCCTCACTAAATTCCCTGCCTGCCCTTACAGTTTAGTAGGGGCCCTCTGCCTGTCTTTCCACAGTACCCAATGCATGAGTCTGTGCTGTACCAGCCATACTGCTACATAACTATCCCATTAAATGTCTGGTTCTTGTGAACTCTTTGAGGCAGGTCACTCATACTCAGCCAGCATAGGGCCTAATCCCCAGTAACTACCAAGTGAAAGAATTAATGAGGAAGAAAAGTGGCGTAGAACCACAGATATGGAGGTGAGGGTTCTGATACAGGAGTGAAATGTCACCTCCCCTCCCCTTGCCTAACTGTCCTCTCATCTGTCTGCCTATGGACCACAGGGAACATGTCTGGGAACCGCCGCACAGCCAACATCAAGAGCCTAGGTTACTCAGACCTGTTTTGCCTGAGCAAAGAGGACCTGCGGGAGGTGCTCAGTGAATATCCACAGGCCCAGGTTGTCATGGAGGAGAAGGGACGTGAGATCCTGCTCAAAATGAACAAACTGGACGTGAATGCTGAAGCAGCTGAGATTGCCCTACAGGAGGCCACAGAGTCCCGACTGAGAGGCCTCGATGAGCAGCTCGATGATCTGCAGACCAAGTTTGCTCGCCTACTGGCTGAGCTGGAGTCCAGTGCACTCAAGATTGCCTACCGAATAGAAAGGCTTGAGTGGCAGACTCGAGAGTGGCCAATGCCTGAGGACCTGGCTGAGGCTGATGATGAAAGTGAGCCTGGGGAGGGAACTTCCAAGGATAGAGGGGGGAGAGCTGGTCAAGGGGGGCCCCCCGGCCCAGAATGACTCCATCCCTGTTCCCAGGACTCCCACCTCCAAGTGAATCCAGAGTTGTAGGAAAGATTACCTGCAGAAATTCTGCCATCCAGCTTGCTAAATCAGAGAGACAGGAATGAATTGGTTCATAGATCCCCAGCTAGAGATGTGGGAGTATAGCACACATTTATCTCCCCACTTAGCAGTACACACACACACACACACACACACACACACACACAATTACACATGCTGTCCAAGACTGTGTATTCTACATAATATGCTCTGGAGTCCCCATTCTCAAAGCATACATGCTTTCTCATAAGCATGGATATGACTTATACCCACATAATATAGCACATTCAGTCATGCACCTTCTAAACTTACGCTGAGAGTCATACACCAATAGATACCTTCCATCAGTGTGCACATGCCTATGAAAACACAGAAACACACCCAGAGCTGTCTTGGTCCAAAATATCCTTTGACTGTTCCCGGATTGGTGGTTTGCAAGTGTACCCTGCAAACTGCACTTCAATAAAGTATTTGCCTTCCCACTAAGCATTTATGGGGCTAGAAAGAAAAAACCAATGATGAGCCAGGTTGAACTGTGTCTGAATTCTGAGTTACAGAGTGAAGGGCATGAGGTTGGTAGTACTTGGTAGGTTGGATTCAAGGCAATTGGGTACCTGAAGAATAGGGAGTCAGTACTGAGCCAAAGTAAAGCAGGCTTGTGCGTGACACTGCTCTAAGTGTGTACATGCTTTCACAGATGTATTCACATGCACACGCTGGCCACTGCATAGCACACCACGGTATATGTCCTGAGCTTTGTGAGCACGGAGGCATTTGATCTAGTTGAGTGAGCCAGAGTGGATAACTTTACTTCTACTCTTTCCTGGCCCTGCTCTAACCTCTCAGTAGCTGGAGCTGGCCTTGGTGCTGGCAGAAATCCAACCTCCTGCATGGTATTCCAAGAAATAGGATAGAGAGTAGAGATTAGGTAGAATGGAATATCATGGCCAGGGACAAGTAGAGATGAGTATGTTTGGAATAATTGGTGTCGTTTGAAGGAGGTCTGCTGGTTTAGGATAGGGAAATCTGATGTCATCTCTGAATCACATGCACATTTCAGCTCCTCCATGACATGGCCAGTCTTCAGGTTTGAGCTGCACTGGATGGTATTTTTAAATGAGCCTGGGATTAAATTTACAGCTTAAGTGATAAGTCTCTATTGTCAGGAGAGATTAGGAGGGTCATTGCACTTTAAATCATTTTAAAACATGTAGTTATGATTTCCTCTTTACAGAATGTAAGGCTGTACTGCAATCATGTACATATATATATATATATATATATATATATATATATATATATATGGCAATAGGTCTGTCCTGTTCATCTCTGTGTCTCCAGGGACCAAATTGTGCCTGACACATAGAAGTACACAAATATATATTTGCTGTCTAAAGTGAAGAGAGTTGAAGCAGATTAGAGGCCCAAAGTTGGAAAAAGATACATGTCAATTTCATGAGAGGTTTTTCTACCTCTATTTATGTTGAACTAGAATAGATGGGTATGCATGGAGGGCCATTTTGGTGTTTTGGGGTTTATTGTTTTGATTTGTTTTGTCTTTTGGCAAAACATTTATTGTTGCATTTTAGTTATATATAGTGATAACATTCATCATAGGGAATTTGTACCAGTACATGATATATCTTGCTTCTTCTTTTTTTATCCCCTTTGCCCCCTCCCGTATGTACAAAATCTTTGTTCCCGTTTTTTCCTTCAATTTTCTCTTTTTCTTGTCCCTTCTTTGCTTTCCCACTCCCCCCTCCCTTTTTCCTCTTCTCATTTGTATATTTTCTTCAAATTTCCCAATGTCTATTGTTCATTTTAGTCCTTATTTCCACTTTCAGTTTCTCACACCACAGCAACAATGCAATATTTAAACATGTGTGTCTGATATATTTCACTTAAGAGTATGGTC